GATTGGGGAGGGGCAAAGAAGACCGCAGACAGAGTATAGGCTAGGTGGACAAAGACTACAGACCTCACTCAGGGAGAAAGACCTTGGGGTGACCATAACACCGAGCACATCACTGGAGGCACACATCAACCAAATAACTGCTGCAGCATACGGGCGCCTGGCAAACCTGAGAATAGCGTTCCGATACCTTAATAAGGAATCGTTCAAGACACTGTACACTGTGTATGTTAGGCCCATACTGGAGTATGCAGCACCAGTCTGAAACCCACACCTGGACAAGCACGTCAAGAAGTTAGAGAAAGTACAAAGGTTTGCAACAAGGCTAGTCCCAGAGCTCAGGGGAATGTCGTACGAGGAAAGGTTGAGGGAGATCGGACTGACGACACTGGAGGACAGAAGGGTCAGGGGAGACATGAAAACGACATACAAGATACTGCGGGGAATAGACAAGGTGGACAGAGATAGGATGTTCCAGAGAGGGGACACAGGGACAAGGGGTCACAACTGGAAGCTGAAGACTCAGACGAGTCACAGGGACGTTAGGAAGTATTTCTTCAGTCATAGAGTCGTCAGGAAGTGGAATAGCCTGGCAAGTGAAGTAGTGGAGGCAGGAACCATACATAGTTTTAAGAAGAGGTATGATACAGCTCAGGAAGCAGAGAGAGAGAGGACCTAGTAGCGATCAGTGAAGAGGCGGGGCCAGGAGCTGAGTCTCGACCCCTGCAACCACAATTAGGTGAGTACAAATAGGTGAGTACACACTCACACACTCACACACACACACACTCACACACTCACACACACACACACACACACACACACACACACACACACACAACACACACACACACACACACACACACCAAACACACACACACACACAACACACACACACACACCACACACAACACACACACACACACACACCCCACACACACCACACACACACACACACACACACACACACACACACACACACACACACACACACACACACACACACACACACACACACACACACACACACACACACACACACACACACACACACACAACACACACAACACACACACACACACACACACACACACACACACACACACACACACAACACACACACACACACACACATACACACACACACACACACACACACACACACACACACACACACACCACACACAAACCACCACACACCACACAACACACCACACCACACACACAACACACACACACACACCCAACACAACACCACACAAACAACACACCACACACACACACACACACACACAACACACACACACACACACACCAACACACACACACACACAACACACAACACACACACACACACACAACACACACACACACACACACACACACACACACACACACACACACACACACACACACACCACACACACACACACACACACACACACATACACCACACACACACACACACACACACAACAACACAAACACACAAACACAACCACACACAACACACACACACACACACACAACACACACACCCACACCACCACACATACACACACACACACACACACACACACACACATTACACACACACAAACAACACACACACACAACACACACACACACACACACACACATCACACACAACACACACACACACACAAACACACACATCACCCACACACACACAGTCAGCAATAACCACCTACACTGACACAACCACAAACAGACACACATACACAACCAACACAGACTCACACACACATCACACACACACACACTCAACAGACTATCACACACAACACACACACACATTGAACAAGCAACACACACAACTACTAAAACACACACACCAACACATCCACATCACAACAGAACAGACTCAACATCACACACACACTCACACTGATTACTATTATCCTCTCACATCAAAGAGAAAATGAGAATAAGAACGTTATAATGATGATGACACACAAGACCAGGACATGCCATGAAAATTCCAGAGAAAGAGCTCCCATTTTCCCCATTCCCCTCCCCATTCCCCTCCCTCTGTGAGACTGTTATCCACTCTTACTGCTGAAGATTGAGATACTTATGTAACATATGGGAATCTTTATTATGGAAACGTTTCGCCACACAGTGACTTCATCAGTCCAATTCAAAGAATAATGGTGAAGGACTGAAGGAGTCTGAGGTAATCAGTCCCTCAGCCTGGAATGGATGTGTTCAGTCCATCAGTCTTGTATTGGACTGATGAAGTCACTGTGTGGCTAAACGTTTCCTTAATAAAGATTCCCATATGTTGCATAAGTGTCTCAATCTTCAACTTGTCAGTTTTCAAAATTTTCAAAATCATCAACTACCCTATTTCCAAACTGTTACTTTCCTATATCCTTTCTAAATTAAAACTTATCTAATTTGAATCCATTATTACGGGTTCTCTCTTTGAGAGACATCTTCAGACTTCACGAACAGTGACACTTGAGAAGCCAGAAGGCAGGTTTAGATTTAGAAAGGATATAGAAAAGTACTGGTTTGGAAATAGGATAGTTGATCAGTGGAACAATTTGTCTAGTAGGGTTATTGAAGCTAAAACCTTGGGTACCTTCAAATTTAGGTTAGCTTTAAGAGGGATTTGCACATTAGTTAATGGGGTTTATCAAAGCTTGAGCAAATATTTTTGTTAGTGGGTTGGATTTGAGAAGAACCTACCCAGCATGGGCCAATAGGCCTGTTGCAATGTTTGCCCTTTCGTGTATTCTTGTGTTCTTCCATGCTATGGCCAGAGTGTGGCCAGTATCACTGGGTGATCAGGTCCTCCTGTGGCCTGCTATGTGAACCCCTTCCCCTGATACATCACACCTGCCCATTGATTCCCATTCCTCTCCCCGTCCCCCATTCCTCTCCCCGTCCCCCATTCCTCTCCCCGTCCCCCATTCCTCTCCCCGTCCCCCATTCCTCTCCCCGTCCCCCATTCCTCTCACTACACAGAGGCCTGGTCGCAGACCGGGTCACGGGGGCGTTGACCCCCTAAAACCCTCTCTAGGTATATACACATTATGATATTGATACAGGATATTGATACACCTTGATATTGATACACCTTGATATTGATACACCTTGATATTGATACACCTTGATATTGATACACCTTGATATTGATACACCTTGATATTGATACACCTTGATAATGATACATCATGATATTGATACACCTTGATATTGATACACCTTGATATTGATACATCATGATATTGATACACCTTGATATTGATACACCTTGATATTGATACACCTTGATATTGATACACCTTGATATTGATACACCTTGATATTGATACACCTTGATATTGATACACCTTGATATTGATACACCTTGATATTGATACATCATGATATTGATGCATAAAAACACCTGTAATATTGATACACAAACACCTATAATGTTGATACATTAAAACACCTGTAATATTAATACAGGAACACCTGTAATACTGATACATTAAACATATGCAATATTGATGCACAAACACCTGTAATATTGATGCACAAACCCCTGTAATATTGTTACATAGAACACCTGCAATATTGATACATAGAATACCTGTAATGCTGATATACTAAACACCTGTAATATTGATACACAAACACTCGTAATATTGATACATAAACACCTGTAGCACTGATACATAAAACACCTGTAATATTGATACATTAAACACCTGCAATATTGATATACAAACACCTGTAATATTGATACATTAAACACCTGCAATATTGATATACAAACACCTGTAATATTGATACATTAAACACCTGCAATATTGATATATAAACACCTGTAATATTGATACATTAAACACCTGTAATATTGATACATAAAAACACCTGTAATAATGGTGCTAGCAGTTCACTACTGAAGGACCCATGTTCGATCCCGGGGCGAGTGGAAACTCGTTAGTAGGTACCCAGGTGAGATGGTGCTAGGCGCCGTGTTCTTAGATGGTGCTAGGCGCCACTATCATCTTCTTAGATGGTGCTAGGCGCCACTATCATCTTAGATGGTGCTAGGTGCCACTATCATCTTCTTAGATGGTGCTAGGTGCCACTATCATCTTCTTAGATGGTGCTAGGTGCCACTATCATCGTCTTAGATGGTGCTAGGCGCCACTATCATCTTCTTAGATGGTGCTAGGCGCCACTATCATCTTCTTAGATGGTGCTAGGTGCCACTATCATCTTCTTAGATGGTGCTAGGCGCCACTATCATCTTCTTAGATGGTGCTAGGCGCCACTATCATCTTCTTAGATGGTGCTAGGTGCCACTATCATCTTCTTAGATGGTGCTAGGTGCCACTATCATCTTCTTAGATGGTGCTAGGCGCCACTATCATCTTCTTAGATGGTGCTAGGTGCCACTATCATCTTCTTAGATGGTGCTAGGTGCCACTATAATCTTCTTTGATGGTGCTAGGTGCCACTATCATCTTCTTAGATGGTGCTAGGCGCCACTATCATCTTCTTTGATGGTGCTAGGTGCCACTATCATCTTCTTAGATGGTACTAGGCGCCACTATCATCTTAGATGGTGCTAGGTGCCACTATCATCGTCTTAGATGGTGCTAGGTGCCACTATCATCTTAGATGGTGCTAGGTGCCACTATCATCGTCTTAGATGGTGCTAGGTGCCACTATCATCTTAGATGGTGCTAGGTGCCACTATCATCTTAGATGGTGCTAGGTGCCACTATCATCTTAGATGGTGCTAGGTGCCACTATCATCTTAGATGGTGCTAGGTGCCACTATCATCTTTGATGGTGCTAGGTGCCACTATCATCTTAGATGGTGCTAGGTGCCACTATCATCTTAGATGGTGCTAGGTGCCACTATCATCTTCTTTGATGGTGCTAGGTGCCACTATCATCTTAGATGGTGCTAGGTGCCACTATCATCTTAGATGGTGCTAGGTGCTACTATCATCTTCTTAGGAAGTACAGAGCTAATTCAGGGAACAGCAGGTGACAATCGAGCGCGATTTGGTAAGTAGGTTCCACTGAAAGCCTATCATAATGGAGTCAGAGGAGCAGGAAATGGTGTTGGAGCCCTGGTCTATATTTTCATTATTGCAGGAGTTCACTAAGAAGTTCACTACCGTAGCACAAGCCCCTTGCATCACCATCATTGCTGCAAAGATCAAAGGCCAGGATTACTAACAGAGTGGGTTAGCAAGGGTAAACACACCCAAACAGGCCAGTTAATTGAGGCTTATTTTCCGCCCAAAATGTTCTGGATAACCAAAGGCTCTGCCTAACCAAAGGCTCTGCATAACCAAATGTCATCCATCTCTGTACAAATATTGTGTCATGTAGAATAAATCTTTGACTAGGGGTCTTCCTGTGCCTCCGGATGC